GGAAAGATGGCTGTTTCTTCAGTTGAGCTTGTGTTAAAGCACCATATTATGTAAAAACACGTACCTTTAAACATTAGAATTAGACTAGTGCAGTGAGATACCTAGACTAGGAGAGGCCAGTGAAAAAATGAGAGAGACTGAGGGAAGAGCAGACTTCCATCTGCTTTCTCACACTTTCTAGAGCCTATGCCCATTCACTGAGAATAGTGGTTAATTCCCACAGGTTGTATATGTGAATGACGGGCGTCTACTATATATATTCTTTCAAAACACATGCTGCATTATGCCACCAATTTAACATATCCACAGTAACAGACTAAAAGTGTTAAGAAAACCAAGATACGTGTAAGCTCTCCTATGATTTTCATTACTTAAATAACTTGGAAAATGGGACCTTTCAGTGATATCTGGGACAATCTCTGGTTCCTAAGTTTAGTTACATTTTCCTCAACCGTTTAGTTAAATTGGGATACCCTATAACTTGCTCAGATCCACTTGAAGATTTATCTTTTTTATAGAAAGATCCTCTGTACGTTTATTATATCACTCAGAATTTCACTCAATAAATCTCCATCTCTCCATTTTAAGAAGCATATATTGACTTTGTTTTCTATGCAACCTTAATCCTAAATAAATAATTAAGAAACAGAAACTAAAACAGGGACTTTTGATACAGTGCAATTTGTTCCAGTTAATTTGTTCCTGGCCTGCTTTAAGTAAAATTCAACAGCTTTCTTAAACTCTGAATATTTGCCATTACAGTGATCTAGGATGCCAGAAAACACTTTAGAGGGACCTAGAAAGAGTTTAGTTTGTATTTCTAACATCTAAACAGATACAATTAAATGATATACAAGTTTAAAGAGAACACAAGATATGGAGAATACTTAGTATTTCTAGTCAATGTAGTATTTTTTAGCTTTTTTTTTGGGGGGGGGCGTTGATAACATTCTTGATGCTTACAGAAATGCAAACCCACTGAAAAGTAATTCAGAGGAAAATATCCACAAGTCCTGTTAATTCTACACCTTCTAAATCTCTCAAACCCAAACACTTTTCTCCATCATCACACTCACCGCCCTAATCAGCGCAGCAGTCTTTAAACTGGAATACACATATCACTGTGGGGTACCTGAAGGTTTTCTAAGTAGCATGAGTGACAGATGATTTTACAGAGTTTCTTTCTAGATCCTCAACTTTTATAAATCCTGCATCTAAATCTGATCTGCTTGAGATGATACCCTCTGTCAAGCATCAGTCATAAAAGTTCTCATTTCCTGTTTATCTTTCTCCCACTTAACAAAAATACAGTGATGTACTATGCTTAAGTATAAAACACCCTGAGTGCCAAAGGGACAATTCAAAATACCAGTGTGGTATTAAGAAAGAGAATTACTCCACTGACTATCCCAACCTTTTTGCAACTTAAGTGGCTCCCATTCTTTTGCTTTTAACAAAAGTTAAGGTGGACTTTAATGGGATTATCAGATGACATATCATATAAAACATGATTTTTAAAGATAGAACATTATTTGATTTTTGGCAAATAACTCTGAAGGATTTAAAAGAACTGACAGTGCTGCATGAAAAATTAATTCCATTTGCATCTACTTATTTATGTGAACAAGGTTTTCAGCACCACTGCCTCAGTTGAGGCCCTAATCTCTTGCTTAGAAAGATACCCAACCTGGTCTTTCCAACTCCTATTTTTCTTTCTTTCTAATGCACACTACACTATTATCAAGTATCTTTTTTCAAAAATTAAAATTCAAATACATGGGAACTTAACATTAACCTATTTTAAATCTTCCACAATTTCCCTCTACTATCAGATTTTTTAAAAAGAAAAAAATTCAAAACACCTCAGCCTGGTATTCAAGGCCTCCCATCATTATTTACAACTTACTTCCCTTCCTACACTCTTAGGTCGTTCACTCCCTCCCTACAACCCACCCAGGTCCCCCACACAGGACATTACTCACCATGCCCTTTTGACTCAGAGGATTCCCTCTTCCTATCTCTCTCCTCTGCCTGAGAAATTCAGACTCATCATTCAAAGCACAACACGTATACCATGTCCTCTGAGAAGCTTTCTGGACTCCCCAGACAGAATTAATGGCACTATTCATTTTCTGACAATCATTAATGGAGCATCCATTCTGATTTTTAGAGATACAAAGATGAATAAGACAAGGGACCGTCACAGTCTTGTGAGGACAGAAGTGTTATCTGATAAATTACCATACACTGTTTATGCTTCTACCAAGAAGTTATGTCATTGAGCTAGAAAAACACAAGAACAGATGGCTTGACAGAAGAAAGGGAAATAAAACAGGCACTGACAAGTAAGTCAATTTGTCACAAATAATTTAACGCTAGTAAACCTTACACCCAAGACTCAATTCCAGGTCTGTCAGAGTACAAGCTTAAGACAATGTTAAGAATGTAGGCTCAGGAGTTATGCCACCTAGTTCAGATCCCAGCTCTACCACTTATTACTTCACAGAACATACTTAACTTTCCTAAGCTGCTTTTTACTCAGCTGTATAATGGGTATTATAATAGTGCCAATACCTCAAAGCATCGTTATACTAAATGAGGCAATGTACACACGATACAGGGCCGTGTGTAAACATCCTATATAAATGTTAGCTGCTTTTATTACCATTAATAACTATTATGATATACTGACTCCTGTAACACAAACATCTTCTGTCATATTCTGTAACATAGTAAGTTATTTTGAACCTCAATTTCCTAGTTTGCAAAATGGGGAAACTAACTGCCTTACATATGTAATAAGTCTTGCATCATGCCAGGCACATAATAAATAAAAGAAAATATCTTTTCTCTACCCAAGTTAAATAAAGATACTTACATACACAAATTATCTCCACTTGGCTAATAATCAAGGGTTAAGATAAACCTATGCAGTGGTTCTCAACCTTGGAATTATCTGAGGAACTTTAAAAAATTCTGATGCCTGGGTCCCATGTCCACAGATTCTGATTTAATAAATCTGGAAGTGCAGACATATTATAACATTCCCTAGGTGACCCTAATATGCAGGCACAGTTGAGAACGAGGTCCTAAGTCTAAGATAGCAAAATAAGACATTAGGCAACAGCCTCAACATTTATGCACACTCAAACAAAAAGCAATCAATCATAAGCTGAACACGGTTATTTCTGTTTTTCCAGAAAGAGTAAGGAGGAGGTTATTTGATTTTCATGTTTTAAAAGATCTGAGCTTAACAGAGATTAACTTTGAAAAATATCTTAGGAAACAACTCAGGCATTTTCTTTTAAGCTTTAAAGAGTTATTTGGACTGAAAATAAACTTACTTTCCTCTCTTACAAATCTCTCCAGATTTTAACATGTTCACCGAAGAGGAGATTTTTAACAAGCAAATCTCTTCATTATGCTTTTCTCTTAAGGACTCACTGAGCTGGTTTTTCAGAGCTGAAAACTGTCATCACTTTGTCCAGGACAGTGTTAAAATCAGCTAAGGAATCTGTAAAACATGTCATGGAATCTGTAAAACATGTCAATGTCCAAGGCCACTGGACATTGGTACCCTAGTGTACCTTGGGCTCTTCTTTTTCCTTTTCTTAAAGCAGCTTTATTAAGAAGTAATTTAGACACAAAGTTTATATTCAGTGAGTTTTCACAAATGCATGCACCTGTATACATGACAAATGAACAACTTCCACCACAATCGTTACAATGGCCATTATCCCAAAGTTTCCTTATGGCCCGATGTAGCCACTATCGGTCCCCCCAAACCACTCATCTTCTAAATTTCATTTAGATGGAATCATAAAGTATGAGTCTTTTGTGTCTAGATTCTTTCATTAGCATAATGCTTGAGATCCATCGATATCGCTGTACGTACCAGTAGTTTATTCCTTTCCATTGCCGAACAGTAGTCCATTGAATGGATGGATAGCCCACAATTAGCTTATCCATTCACCAGTTGAAAGACGTATAGGTTGCTTCCAGTCTTGGCTATTATGAATAAAGCAGCTATGAACAATCAAGTTCAAGTCTTTGTGTGAACATGCATCTTCATTCCTCGTAAATAAACATCTAAGAAGGGACTGCCAGACCACCTGGTAAGTGTATATCTAACTTCATAAGAAACTGCCAACTGTTTTCCAAAGTGGCTGAAACATTGCATTCTTACCAGCAATGTACACTGTACCAGCTCCTGTTTCACCAGTTTCTCTGACACTTGGTATTATCAGTGTTTTTAATTGTAGCCATTCCAGAGGGTATGTAGTGATAAGTAGTTTAGTTCATTGCAGCTTCACTTTGCATTTCCCTGACTAATAATGTTGAGTATCTTTCCATGTGCTTATTTGCAATTCATACATCTTTTTTGATGAAGTGTTTCCAAACTGTTTTTTTTCTACAAGTTGTTTGTCGTCTCCTGAGTTATTTTGCAAATATTCTTCCCAGTCTATATGGCTTGCCTTGTCATTTTCTTAACACCATCGTTAAAAAAGGAAAGTTTAATTGAATGAAATTCAATTTATCATTTTTTCTTTTAAGCTTCATGTTTTTTAATGTGCTCTCTACAAAAAGTTTCCCCTAACCCCAGAACACACAGATTTTCTCCTATATTTTTCTCTAGAAGTTTCATAGTTTTACATTCACATCCAAATACATTTTGAGTTAATTTTTGTGTATGGTGAGGTAATAAGGGTAGAAGTTCATGTTTTGCATATGGATGTCCAATTGTCAACAGCACTATTTTTGAAAACACTATCCTTTCCCCATTGAATTACCTTGCACTTTCGTCAAAAAGTATGTGTGGGAGGGCTTCCCTGGGGCGCAGTGGGTTGAGAGTCCGCCTGCCGATGCAGGGGACGGGGGGTCGTCCCCC